GACCATATCTTTCTTAAGATTTCTCCACGTAAGGGGCTATTGAGATTTCGACAGATAAGCAAGTTATCTCCTAGGTTCATTAGACCCTTTGAGATTTTGGAGTATGTCGATGAGGTTACTTATCGTTTGGCATTGCAGCCAGACCTGGATAGGGTTCACGACGTCTTTCATGTTTCTATGTTGAGGAAGTACGAGCCGGATCCATCATATGTTTTACAATGGACAGATGTTATTGTTGATGAGGACGTGACCTACGAGGAGGGTCCGGTCCAGATTCTTGACTCACGAAAGCAGGTCTTGTAGACAAAGACCATTCCATTGGTCAGGGTCTTATGGAGACATCACGGAGTCGAGGAGGCTACTTCGGAGCTCGAACACGAAATTCGCTCTTGGTATCCTAGTTTGTTCGCGCTTTCAGGTATGGCTTGATTTCGGGGACGAAATCCCTTTAAGGAAGGGAGGTTGTAATGATCCGGCCATTTTCTTTCCTTTCTTTTTCTGGCATTTTTTTTTTTTTCGCGTAACCTTAGGGTTTTTGAGACCCGATATGAGTTTTTGAGTTCGATTTTGGGTTCAAATTTGATTTCCGACTTCACGTGCATTCATTATATTTGATTTCCATAAAATGCGTAGTCTTACTTTTGTAGAAAAACATGCTACTTGTTTACTTTTCTGTAGGAGTATGGATGCATAGTTTCTTCGGAAACATTTTCTTTTCCCGGGGTGTTTTACGTAATTAAATTTTCTTTGGATATTTGTCTTAGGGATCATTTTGTAATTTATTTTGTGAGATATTCTGGGGAGGGACCTTTTGTAATTTTAAAAAAGTGTGACAAGTGTCGCATTCTCATTGGTCCACTTGTTGACTTGTTGTGGTGAAACTTGGTAGCCTTGGATGATGACATGTGGAGGGTGAGGATTTACCCACTTGTTGGCCTAGGATTGGAACACTTTATGGCTTGTGATGAAGACAAGTGTAGGACTTAGATTAAGCCTTGTGAGGTGGCTTAAGATGGTGACAAGTGTAGGCCTAGGATGTGTTCTTGTGAGGAGGCCTAGTTAGTTGACAAGTGAAAGGGTAAGATGAGCTGTGTGTGTGTGTGAGGTAGTGCTAGCATACATAGTGTTTTAGTTAATGGAAGAATACACAATCCTCCACTAACTCTTCATCTTCTTCCTCTCATCCTCTCTAGCCACCATTGAAGGCACCATAACCCAAGCCTTTAGACCTTGATTTCAAGCCTCTTCCCCATTTGCCTTTGTTTGTTTTGGATTCTAGAGAATTTATTCTCTAGTGAGGTGGGGGTGTTTATATGCTTATAACTTTAGTGTTTTTATGTGTTCTTGGGGTTTATATGAATTGTATGCATGTCTTCTTTTAAATTTTAGTATATAGTTGTATTTTACATGAAATCAATTTAAGACCTGATATTGTTTAAGACCTAAACTTGATCTTTAACATATATTAAACTTGTTTTATTTAGAAATGTTTTGAAATCTAGTGATTTTCATTAAATGTGATTATTAGATCTCTATATTGTTCCCATTGATTTAATTATGTATTTGATGTGGTATTGATGTTTAAATCATGGATTTGGAACTTGTTGTATACTTGTAATAATGGACTTTATGTTTTGATGTCATAGTTGTAACTTGTATTAATTCACATTGTGAGCTTGACATATCACATGCTACTATAACTTGGAGGCTTAAGGCATGTATTGTATGGTGTCCCAAATTTGGTTGTGCATGGAAGGTGACTAATTGCATTGTATATATGTGTATGTGTGTGTGTGTGTGTGTATATATATATATATGCGTTGTTGCATAACTTGTTAATTTTGGAAACTTGGGATGTCGTTGTCTTGACTATGGTTAGAGTACGGCTCTAATACGGCAGATACGAGTTCTCCCCACATGTGCACACTAGGATAGGTCACGGTGGGCTAATAACCCAAAATAGCTACTATTCGTTCAGTTTGATCCGGTGTGATGTCCAAGTATATCCACATTTGTTTGATTTTGTATTTTTGTTTAACATTGAGAAGTTATAATTTGTTGTTTTCTATTAGGTACTCTAATATCATTCTATTGCATTACTATATTGGTTTATATTGAAATGTTCAAAAGTAGCTTAGGGATGATCCTATATATTCACTTTAGATATATAAGTTAGGTGGCATGTACCATATGGATAGGTTTATATTAACTTACAAAACCATAAAACTTTAGGTTATACACATGTTCATTTCCTACGAGTAACTTGTTTATTCACCCTAGTTGTTTGGGACTATTTTTAGGTAAAGAGACCTTATTTTGGGATGCACAACATCCCTAGGTTGGCTTGGTTACTTTGGGTACCTTCTTGTGTAATTTCACATACATGCAAGTGTTAGCATGTTTTGCTTTCTTTTGAAATTGTAATATATAGCTTGCTTTGCAATGTCGTTTTCTTTTTGGGATATGTAAAGTGTGCCTAAATATCTCTTCAAGACGTTTTTTATATGTATGACTTGTGGCTAAGGGCCAAACACTTTAATTTCATGCAATGAATACTTTTAGTTTCATGTATGTTTACTTTTTTTGCAAAATATGTGCATAAAGGCATTTTGAGTATTTTATGTGAAAAATAAGATTTGATTTTGATATGGTCATATAGAAAATCACATTTTAAGGGTGGTTTTTTCACAAAAGTTTTTCAAAAAATTCTGTTATAGCGTCGAAAATCATGCATTTTCTCGGATTTTCTGGTGTAGCCAGCCAGTCTCGATCCTTCGCCAGATTTGGTGATCGATTGCCGAAGGTAGCAATCGACCTTTGGCAATCGATCGCCCTGGGCACATTTGGTTTGGCGATTGATCATTGAATTCAGCGATTGATCACCTTATTCTCACAGTTTTGTTAAGTTTTTTGTAAAACTTCGAGATTTCATATATTTGTCAGCAGGACTCCAAATCTGGCGAATCTTGAGTCTAACTTTATTAATTTTTCGTTGTCTATCCAATGGTGTACATAGTAGCACACATTTCTGGTTTGAAAAGACCATTTTACCCATAGATTCATACTTAACCGTTTTTAACCCCAGCTTCCGCATATTATTTTCTTTTGGGTTCCATGGTTTCATGGGAAGTCACTTTGACGTCTTAGGAATGACTTACATCTCTAGAGACATTATTTCTTTTTTTCATTTTCGCATTTCGGATCCATTATCGGGTCAACTTTTAGGTCATCAATGATGCACCGGGTTTGTAAAACTTGGGGGCTATCACAGCACCATTGCTAAGGCATGGCTCCTAAAGCCCCGTGAGCAAACACATATAGAAGAAGAGGTAAAGAAGGGAAGATCATGTTATTTCGGGGAAATAATGGAATCTATAACACATGACATTAATGACAATGTCATGTATCAACATAGAGGCATTCACATACACAAATCAACCATGAGAACCAATAATGTAGTCAATGTTATGCCATGAATCCTCCCGAACCAATCCCATAGCGACATCCTATGCACCAACACTCTTTCCCAACCAAACCATCTTACTACCCCAATCACACTAGAGGCCTCTAACTCCAAATGGCAAAAGTCTACCACTTGTCTACCATTTGGAACACTGGCTAGTTATCCCTGGCGTGAGACCACCACTCAACTAACCATTTGGGGCCTAGCTACCGAAATCTTAGAAACAAGACTACCGCTTGTCTTCCGTCCATCACAAACCTTTCTTAACCTGAATTTCATCCATCTCACATCACACTTTCACCCACACAATCACTACCCAATGCATGAGCTAATATGCTTCCACGAATTCACCTAGCTATCCTTAAGAATGAATATGCCATTAAATATCATCAAGCCAACGACACACAAGTATGCTTTTGTAGTATGAAACTCATTAAATATTTCACGAAATCAATTCATCACACATCAACATGCTTAACATCAAAAGGACTAATTCCAATCATGTTATACACATGTCATGCCAACTTCATTATCACACATACCATATTTAACATATACGGGTAAATATGTTAAACAGGTCTTTAAACAGGTCGTGTTTATTGTGTCTAACATGACTTGTTTATTAAACGGGTTACACGTGTTGTATCATGTGTGTTACCCATTTAATAAACATGCCGTGTTCGGGTTTAGGATATCTGATACGATTATTAATCGTGTCGTGTTCGAGTTGACATAATTAGTGTTATACCCCTAGGACTACATGATACAATTATGACATGCGAACACAAATTGTCACCCCTAGGAATTCCCAAGAAAATTATAAAAAAGTAAGTTTCTTAGTTTGTATAGCATAAAAGTTACAAGAAAATGTAATAACTTATCTAAATTTTCTTTATTTTTATTAAAGAAAATAAAAATTCTAAATAAATTTGTATTGAATAGATATTGTCTTTTTTAAAAAATAAAAATAAAAATAAAAACAATATAAAAATCTAAATAAATAAATTTGTACGACATTTAGAGAGATATAGTCTATATAATATTATTATAAAATGTTATGCATAAACACATTTTTTAGAGTGATAAAAAGTCGGCATAATTAGGTAACTTTCTTAAGAAATCTAAACTTTTTTGTGTTTTTGAAGGAAAAATTTATAAAAACATGGAGTTAATTTTTTACAAAATATACTTTTTTTGATATCCATTCTCTAAAGAAATTAAAATTAAAATATTTTAATTTCTTTTCCTGTCTTCTATGTTAATCTAACCAAACTAATCCTGTACGAATTTGTTACTAAATTATGTACAACAAAATTGGCGGCAAAAAGTGGTAGAAGAAGTAATGTTTACCTGAAATACTCTCTACCAAATTTAATTTACATTACTGATATTAGCCGTTGGATTTGCGTCACATTTCGGGTAGCCAGTAGCTAAGAATGTTCTACTTTTATCTAACAATCTCATCCGTTGGATATTAGGTCCACCACCCTGTGTCCTGATTAAAGCTTCTACAAAGTCAACAAAACCATCAATTGCTATGTAGATGACAACACAGTAGTCTGGCTTCAGCTTGCCCTAGCTTTGGGCCTTCTTCTTCAGCAATTTTTCCATTCCCCCAAATTTTTTTTTTCTTCTGGTGAATTTTCATTCAATGGACACAGGTGGGAGCAGTGAAAGCCCAATCGAAGCAAAGAAAGGCAAATCGAAGACCCCTAGAAAACCCAAGGAAAGCGTTCTTAAACAGAGTTAGTCTCTCTCTCTCTCTTTCTCTCTCTCTCTCTCTCTCTCTCTCTGTATATAAATAGTTATTTACATCTACATTTTTGCATATATTTATTTATTTGTATATATCGGTATTGCTTGAGATTTCTGTGTGTCAATTTGGGTTCGGCTGATTCATTTGTTTTCCTGCAGAATCACCAGCTGAGTTCTTTGCAGAGAACAAGAACATTGCTGGGTTTGACAATGTGAGTTTCTTTGCCTCCTGTATAATTTCTGTGGGTTAGAATTTTAATGGTTTTGAGGTTTTTTTTTGGGATTTTATGTGAAGGGTAAATTTTTATTTTATTTTTTATTTTTTTTCAGTACTTGTAGTAGCTGAATAATTTTGATATGTACTATTTGTTGCATTAAATATATAATCTCTCATCTGTGATGATGGAAGCATGGTGTTAGTAATAGGAGAGTAATTAGCGAATTTATATCTAGCCCGGTGCCTCGATTGAATTAATTTGATTGGAAAAACTTTTTTGTTGTAAATTTCTGAAATTCAATTTTTTTTTTTTTTTTTTTTTTTTTTTTTTTTTTGTGGGGAAATTAGAAATTTCCCATTTATTTCTCTATTTGGGTGAAAACTAGATAAATATTAGCCAACTAAGAGACTTTGCAAATTTAAATTGTCTGAAGTTGGTTGTTAAATTCGGTGAATCAGGGGCAAAGTCAAATTCCGGAAAACTGTATAGAAATCTGTTAGTACTGTATAGAAATCTGTTAGTTCAAGTTCGTAGCTGTTCTGTTCTCCTTCAATCGTCAATTTCTGCATTTTATTTTGCTTTCAGCCAGGGAAATCCCTCTACACTACTGTGAGAGAACTTGTTGAAAATGCACTTGATTCAGCCGAATCCATATCTGAGCTTCCTGTAGTAGAAGTAACAATGTAAGTGCTTTTCATTTGTGCATATTCCTAGTATGGATATCAGCATGACTTAGGTAGGCAAGCTTTAACATATGAGATAATCATGCATGTCATTTAATACTTTAGTCTTACTATTTTCAATTCTTTGCTGCTGTAGTGAAGAAATTGGGAGAAGCAAGTTTAATTCTATGATTGGTCTTGTTGATCGTGAACGCGTTGATGAGGCACTTTATGATGATTTTGAGACAGCCAAGGCTCGTGAGGTGTGTAAATTTGAATGTGTTAAATGTTGTGGCACAGTTATATTTAAATTGATCAAAGTTTGCGATTGGCAAATGGAGTTTGATGTCTGTTAAATTATCTTACTTGGCTAGTACATGATTTGATTTGTGTAGTTTTTCGGTTCAATTAGAGAGAGAGAGAGCCATAATATCCATGCCGACATGGGTGAAATCGTATGGTCGTCAACTTTGGGGTGAGGGAGAAAGAAATTCATCGACTACATTACTTCACAAAGCATCACATGCAACTTAAAGCAAATAGTAAATTATTGACCAAACCAATGTACTTGGTGAGTGCATATATGAGTGTCAAATTTACTTTTTTACCCTTGGACTTGAAGATTGCCTTTTTGCCCTTGAATATAGCTTTACTTCTGATTAGGTCCTTCGACAAGAGATAACTAGCTGACACTAGCTAACATTCAATTTCTAACAAAAAAAGAAATAAAATAACAGCCTCAAGTGTTAGACACGAAATTTAGCAACCTAATTCCCATTGACCTAATGCTCACCTGCACCAGTGCTTAAAGATCTGCTTTTTGATCACCTTACAGACATTCTTAGGGCTAGTTTGGTTGGTGGGAATGGAATGAAATAAAGTGGAATAGAATGCTTTTAATTCCATTCATTTGTTTGGAAAGTAATTTTAAAGATGGAATGCCCATTCTCCACCTTTCTCAGAGAATGGTCATTCTATCAAAATCATTCCACTTTCCAACAAAAGGAATGGGCAATCCATTCCCACTTAAAAAAATACGGAGTAAAAATAATATTAAAAATTGTTTTCCTTGAACGATGTGATTGCTAACACACTTTTCTCAAACAACTCAAGCCCTAGCAGTTTTGCATTCGACATTGAAGGCAATCAATGTTAAAGAACATTGAAGACCAAATCACCCATTGAAGGGTGTCAACAACCAATCCGAAATCAGCGCAAAATTAGCCATGGAAGTCAATCGACGACCAATCCGAAATCAGCCGAAAATCAACCATTAAGTAGATCGACGGCTGACAACCGGCAATTTGATTCATTGAAGTCAATCGATGACCAATAAGCTGGCGATTTGCATCCATGGACAGTGATAGGAGATAAAGCACCGACATATGTTGATGAGAGAGATGCATGTTGTTGAAACGAGAGTAAATTTCCATGTCGATGAGAGAGATCCAATAAAAGGCAACTTCTTTTGATATTCCCTCCTCAGTTTTCAAATATACATCGTGTTTGGAAGATTGAAAAAAAGAGAAGAGAAATAAAATATATATTTACGCATATATAAATATATATATTTATTTGGTTTACATATATATATATAGATAGTTTTCCTTTTTAAGCCATGCATAACCAAACAAGAGAATGAGAATGGTCATTCCATTCCTACCTTATTTCATTCCTCTGTACCAAACAAGCCCGTAGGGAGTTTGAAGCATGCCATTGTGTAAGCTGAGACTGCCTGCAACATGCTTTTGATAAGGACTTCTCTGCCTCCGGGTGATAAATAAGCTGCTTTCCACCCATTTATTTTGCTATGGATCTTTCTCTCAAAGTAGTTGAAAATCGACTTGGGGGTGGAAATGCACTGCTGCAGTGCTGCTTTCTCTCGTAACTCACTCGTACCACAATTAAAGAAAACTAAGCACCACCGCCACCGCCACCACCAAGATCACAAAAGTATTCTTCAATTCTCGTGAAATCTTATATAATTGTCTCTATTTGACCAATCAGTTCATGATGAAACTCTCCATCATTATTATCTATATGACCATGGATCTCATTAAAGCATGAGTAAACATAAGCTTGGTGATCTTACAAAGTGCAAGTGACATAGAACCCATCATCCTTTGTTTCATCCAAAGGATATCAGTGTATCACCCAGTGGCTGGAATTAGCACAGGTTGTGCAGAAGACGAGGGAGCTATAGATGCCAAAGGAGAGATGTAGGAGGAACTTGTTTCTGTTCTTCTTCTTCTTCTTCTTCTTCGTAGTTACTATTATGCACCTCTAGCATGGGCGTTGAACTCTCTTTTTCAAAAGGAATTGAATATGAATTTTAAATTGAGTTTGAATCAATTGCATGCAAGGATTGGGTATGGTAAACAATGATTTGTAAAGCAATTAATTATTTGTTGTTGAATTTATGCAGAGTGAGATCTGGCATTTATGTTATGTGCTAAAGATCTCTACTTGGAATTTGGTACTCCCTTTTCAAATTCTTAGTCTTCAACTTAGAAAGAATATGTGACTGCCAAGATGTGTAATGTCTTGGTTGTGGGTCTCTTACCATCATCATTAGTAGGCAACACCAAGCCACTTTCAGTTTGCCTAATACTATGTTGGTGCAATAAAATCAGGTGATACTTTGTGTACTTGACCAATATAATTATCATAAAAAGCACTAAAATAATATATGTTTCTTGTAGTGAATATTGAAGCTATCATTATTTTTAAATTTTGATATAGATAAATATCAGTACCCTTGTTGGAGTAGGATCAACAAATCCAGGGTTCTCTGATGTTTTAGGAATATTGAGGCTTTTGGAGTGCAAGGGAGACACTGAAACCCGACATCTTAAAGCATTTGAAAATGTCAAGTAGTGGAGTGATCAATTCCTACTTAGAGGTCTTATTAAACTTTTAAACTCATTATTTTCTAAAACCATTACTTATCAAAAAAAAAAAAAAAATATTTTCTAAAACCATGCACCATGGATCAGTATTTGACTCATGAGGGATCAGTCCTTTCTCGCTAGATTGGGAACAGTCAGTCACTTTCCAAGAGGGAGATCTCTCTCAACCCATAAGGTACTGATTGATCTATTATTCTGATGTGTATACAGATAATGTCAATAAGCTCAAAATCATACTAAAACACTTACATTTTGAGAGGTCAACATCAAATGGATCTCTTATGTCAGAGTTTATCAATTTAAATGTATAGTTTCCGATTTTGTTAAGCTAATTTATCTGTGAATTATACGTACTTGGTCTTACTATATACCTTACTATACGAGTTTCAGGCAATCTTAATTTGTCTTCAATTGAAGCCATTGAATCAGTCTAATGCTGATTGGAAGATTGAAATAATACTAACTGAACCTAACTTTGATTAAAATTTAAAAGAAGATTTTGACTAATAATAAATACAGACCTGTTGACATGGAACGCGCGAGTCATAGTGCTACTGATGGCAATAAGTCCTAACAAACCATTGACTTGGACAAGGACTCTTGGGCATTCCACTGTTCAATATCGAGTCCTTTGGTCTTGAAAGCAGTGATTTTGTGTGAGGAATATTATATCACAAACTTTGTCAGATGATAAATATAATTTCTGGAAGTTGTCTCAAATTTGTTCTGTTATGTTTCTTTTCCTGCCTTCTAGAAACGAATAGCCAAGGAAGCCCGCAATCATGAAATTCAGGCAAAGAATGCTGCCATTGGTAAGAAGGCGAAAGAGCAATCGGCATCAAAGGCCGTTAAGGGTCGAGGTGAGGCCTCGTTTTACAGGGTGACTTGTAAGGTGTGATATATTTCCTTTTCAAAATCTGTTAGGATGCCTTTCTTTCTTTTTCCTTTATATTTATGAGCGTTGTAATAAGTTTCTTGTGTGATTCAACTGTTTTTCATTTGATTGGACCAAAATCAGTGTGAATGATTTCTCTATGGTTGGCACTCTTGATTGTACTTTTTTCCAAATACAGGATAATGGAAAAGGAATGCCACATGATGATATCCCTAACATGTTTGGACGAGGTTTGGAAGTGACATTCTATATCCAGTTTCAATTTGATCAAATTACTTTTTTAGCATGTGTTTTAACCTTTACCTCGATAAACTTAGCAATTTTTGTAAATGACATTGAGTTTTGCTAGAAGTGAGATCTTCGTTATTCGCTTGTTGTAAGAGAATCTGTTCATGCAGTTCTGTCTGGAACAAAGTATGGCTTGAAGCAAACACGAGGAAAGTTTGGACTGGGTGCTAAGATGGTAATGTTTTGTCATCTTATCGCCATTTTATGGTACTTTGATCTCTTATAATTGATAAGGCAATTTTATATTGTATTGCAAATGATGTTGATTAACTTGATTCTCCCATGCAATTCATAACTTCAGCTCCCCTTTCTTGTCGTCCTGCAACTCTTACGTAAGAATTTGTGCAAACACGCTTTCTCATTTTTTGATGTTTCAGATAGAAAGCCCATCCATCTGATTTCTTTGTGCAGTCTAGTTCCTTTTCCTCTCCGTTTGATTGTCGCGACATAATGCAAATAACAGTTTGATCTACCATAGACTTTTGCTTAAAACCTGATAAGCATTGCCATTTTATCTGTGCTGGACTTTTGCAGGCTCTAATTTGGTCCAAGATGAGTACAGGACTTCCAATTGAGATATCCTCGTCACTGAAGGGTCAAAATTTTATTTCATTCTGCAGGCTGGATATAGATATCCATCGGTATGATTTAAAATTTATGTATGACAAAAGGCTGTATTTCAGAATCTACAACTATAATTACATACATGTGAATATGGTCTGGGGGCAATGCATTTTGATAGTTCTTTCTTCACAATATAATTGTTGCTTCTTTCAAATTTAGAAACATCCCTCACATTCATTTGCATGAAAAACGGGACAAGAAAGAAAGGTGGCATGGAGCTGAAATCCAAGTTGTTATCGAGGGAAATTGGACAACTTACCGTGTATGTATTACTTAAGTTGCCCATATCGCATGATTTCTTTTTGTATCTTTCTTTACTTGGAGAACTTTAATATAAACAAATTAGGCAATTAATTTAGATCACTAGTGATGAAGTTGTTGGGAATAGTTACCAATAATAATTATTGACTACTAGCTTATTTATTTATTTATTTATTTGGTTCTTTTTCCAGTCCAAGATATTGCATTATATGCGTCAAATGGCTGTTATCACACCCTATGCCCAATTTCTCTTTAAATTTGTAGCTGACACATCAGAGTACTCTCTCTCTCTCTCTCTCTCTCTCTCTCTCTCTCACACACACACACACACACACACACACTCACACACGCACGCATGCGCGAGTGCACATTTGTCAAAGTTGAGATTCTATGTGGGATTGATGGGGGGTCCATAGGATCGGTTTGAGGATTTTAGGTTTCTACAAAAGTAGCAAAATGCAACTCAAACTAACTTTATTATAAAAAATTCTTCAAAATAAATAGAGATAAGGCTAAACACCAACACCATCAACATTCTAGTGAAATTCAATTAACACTAAAATATAATAAGACTGTAACATGCATGGAAAACACTTGAAACCAATTTCTTTATTTTCTTTATACAAAAACATAGCTAAGCATAATCTCATAGAAGCAATTATAGTAGAGCCTAAACAAATAGAGTAATGGAATAGAGAAACAGAGAGAGAAGAGAGCAATTTAATTGCCTAATTATTTGAGCAAATTAGTTGAAAAGACTGTTTTTTGGTTCAGGAAAAAGAACAAAACACAGAAAGAGAGAGAGAACAACAGGGGGACAAAAAAAGACGTCTCTCTCTTTTTGGATTAGAATGGGCAAAGAATAGGTGCAAGAACGAAGTTCTCTCTGCTTTTTGTTTAAAAAAATAAAGAAAAAAATGAAATAAAAAACAGAGCAACATAGGAACTTTTTGAAATTTTGAGCCATACCTTTGAAGTTCAAAGCTGGATCATGTCTACCTTTGACATTTGGTTCTGCTTTTTGTTATTGTTTTTATTTATTTATTTTTCCCAAATGCAATTAGGGTGAAGAGTTGGCCTTTATACTAAAAGCATAAAATTTCTTTGCCCTGAATGGAATGTAGCCCCAAATTAATTTAGAAGAAGAACAAAACAACACGATTTCTTAGGATTGGTTGGATCCTATGATCATATGCAATACTACTTCCGATCCTATTGTGATCCTGCTTCCAAATGATTTTTCATGTGATCTGATCGATTTAACAAATTGGGATCGTAGGATATTGTAATCCTGCGATCTGGATTGTAATTTTGACAACCATGGCACGCGCGCATGCACCCTACATGATTGTCTTATGCTAAATGAACTAACAGCTTTTTCCTGTTATGAAGTAAAAATATCACTATAAGATTTGCAAGAAGAACAGATATAATGCCTCCAGTTCCTCTGGAGACAAGGTACCATCCATCAGCTGTTGATTTACTACTCATCAAACGCCTTATTGCTGAAACTTCAAAGCAGAACCTTTTGCAGTTTCTTCAGCATGAGTTTGTGAATATAGGAAAACCCTATGCTGAACGTTTGATTGGTAAGAATTTGAAGCTGATTTATTATCTCTCTACTGGGGTGCATGTTAGAAAGTTGCATTTAAGTGTCATGTGGCATAATGCTACACTGAATAAAGTAGTGAAAGTTCTTAAAGTGGTCTTTCTTTCTCACTTTTGTGAAACATTTATCAGTCAATTGGCATGTCAAATGAAATGACTTGTACAATTATAAGTCATGTGGCGTAACACTGTGTCATGAAAATCATATGTTCTCTTACATTTTAATTAATTGGGAAACCTCATTTAGCAACTGAGATTATGATGTATTTTTCCTTTTTTTTAATTATTTTTTATTATTTATTATTATTATTAGTACTTTTTTCCCTTTTCTTATTTAATGATGGAGCATTTTGTAAAAGAGAATCAAAGTACAAAAGGAAGACGGCAAACACTAATGTCAAAAAAAACAAGAAAACAAGCCCAGAAACAGTGCCTAGAAGACCAGGAGTAAAAAATATGGAAAGGCAGATCAAAATTACTCCAAGAAGACTGCATCTTCAGTTTAATGTCTTTTCAAATCTTAGTCGGAGTGGTTTTATCATCCAAGAAGCTGTTGGAGTATCTTCTATTGTTTCCCTCTCTCCATAGATGATATACTGAAGCAGCAAACCAATCTTGTGAACCCGGTTCCTCCAGTCTTGCTTAACTTTGCAGTGAGCAGAGGTCCAATCAAGTAACATACTAAGGGACCATGTATAGGGCGAATTAAATCCTTCCAAAGAGGCTAGGGCATTCCAAATCTTGAGAGAATAAAAGCATTGGAAGAACAAATGTGATAAAGTTTCAGGAAAATTTCTGCATAAAATACAGGTATTATTTTGGTTTAGACCCCATTGCATCAACAAATTGGTTTGCAGCCTATTTTTAGCTGCTAACCAAAGGAGAAAAGAGTGTCTTGGGATAGCCTTTTTAAACCAAACAGCCCCAGCCCATTTCCATCCGTCTCTATGAATTCTGAAGGACTCATATGCATCCTTGATAGAAAAAGGTTTGTTGGTATCAGCCCAAATAACCTTATCAGTGCCCAGACCAGTAGGAATAGGGATGGAATCAAGCAGAGCTTTGATATCCCTAATATTCTGCTGATCAGAAGTAGGCCAGTTTCATGAGGAATCCCAGTGTCATCAATAATTCTGTGCCCTTGCACTAATAGCTCCACATGGGAGCCAATAGTCTGCCAGTGAGAAGTTTCTTTGCATGAAACAAGTAAGTGCTTGAATTTGGACCTTAGAGAGTCTCTCTGAAGTAAAATATGTTTCCAAATCCAAGAGGCAGAGCTGGGCATTTAACAGTACAAAAATTCTTCCATTTCAACAGGTAAGAGTAGATCCATTTGATCCATATAGTTTCTGAATTGGAAATCAGACCTTCAAGCAGGTAGTTGGTATTCATAGCAATGACAGCTTTGTTCCATGAGTGCAAATATTTGATCCCCAAACCACCCTCACTGAAAGGCCCACCGATCTCAGACCAAGCCACTTTGCATCCCCATCTGTTCAAACTAGTTCCCTTCCATTGAAATCTTCTAAGAGTTTGCTGTATGGCATCCAAAATTTTCTTTGGAAGGATGAAGTGAGAGGTCCAATAAACCTGAATGGAGAATGACACAGCCTTAATAAGCTGCAATCTGTCTGAGTAAGATAGCCAATTGGAGGTCTAGTTTCTGACCCTAGCTGTTATTCTTACAATTAAACATCTGCAATCATTATTTTTAAGCCTTGAAGTTATCAAAGGAACCCCAAGGTATTTAACTGGTAATGTACCCTCTGAGAAGTCCACTGCAGATAGAATATAGTGTTTATCAAGATCAGAAACACCACTCATGTAAATTCTGCTCTTGCTGAAATTAGGATAAAGGCCTGGCTGAGAAGCAAAAGATTGTTGACCCTGTTAGCAGTTTGTACATATTCCAAGTTCCCTTCAGAAAAGACAAACAAATCATCAGCAAAGCATACAAGAATGAGAGCAATGTCTGAGCATCTCCAATGATAATTGAAATTTCCAGCAGCAACTTCCTGTTGAAAAAGCCCATTCAGACCTTCCATACAAAGAACAAAGATGTAGGGTGAGAGTGAGATAGAATTACCCTGTCTAATACCCCTGCTATTTCTAAAGTACCCAAATAATTCACCATTTATAGCCACTGAGAAAGAAAGAGATGAGATACACATGTAAATCCATTCTATAAATTTCTGAGGAAAATTCGTAACTTGAAGGGAAGCAATAATGAAGTTCCAACTCAGGGTATCATAGGCTTTTCTAGTGTCAATTTTGGGGGCAACTCTAGCCGGGTTTTGAATTTTGTGATAGTCCCTCAATAGCTCTTGGGAGTTAAAAATGTTATCTGAGATTTTTATGTGGGGGATGAAAACAGTCTGGTTTGGGGAGATGAGGAGGTTAAGCACACGCTTGAGTCTATTGGCTAAGATCTTAGTGATGCATTTATATAGGGTGTTTACAATTGGCTTTTGGCCTGCAATCAGAAAGAGAAAAAGGATTACCAGACTTAGGGATCATGGTAAGAGCTGTGGAATTCATCTCTTTAAGACTTCTCTCTGAGGAAACTTATCAAAAAAAGAAAAGAAAAAAGAATTCTCTCTGAGGAAAACCTGAATTGAACAACCAAGGTAACCTTGGTACCAACAATATCCCTGCATTTTTTGAAGAAGTGAGGGGTATAGCCATCCGGGCCAGGACTCTTTCCATCTTTCATGAAAAAGATTGCCTCTTTGACCTCTTCTGGAGAAATATCAGCCACTAAATCATTATGAAAATCATTTGGAAGAGTTTTAGAAAATCATGGAGAGATATCAGTGGATAATTGATTGTCACCATTGAGCCAATCCTGATAGAAATTCACAGCTTCATCTTTACTATCAGATAATTTCTACATGATAGAAGTTAAAACCATCTGCTGTAGTCAAAGATCTGATCTGGTTCACATCCCTTCTAGAGTTCATGGATTTAAAGAAAAAAACTAATATTCTGATCTCCCAGATTGAGCCATTGTACCCTGGACTTCTGTTTAAAGGACTCTTCAGCAGCACTTAGTTTAGTATAAATTAATACTAACTTTCTCTGTTTGACTAAGGTCAACTGACATAGGATCTGATTGGAGGAGAGTTTGGATAAGATGCATGTTATTCTTGGCTTGAAGGGTTCTTTTGGATAAATTACTATACTGCTTTCTGTTGATCTTCTTGAGTTCAGTTTTAAGAAGTTTTGAGTTTATGGTATACCCTAAACATGGGACAACCTCCAACTCTAACATTCCAGATTCTGGCCACTGAAGTTGCATAAAATCATCAGCTTCAGTCATGAAGTTGAAAAACTTAAAGAGTTTCTTAGTTTTCTGAGCAAGCTGACTCAAAGACACAGTCGTCAACGAGTGGTCTGACAGACCTTGGGGGTGAAAATAAGCTTCAGAGTTAGGAAAAGCCTGATTCCAGGCATCATTGACCAAAACTCTATCAATTTTTCTGCAGATGCAATCCTGCCCAGGTCTGCCATTATTCCAAGTAAATAACAGGCCTTTAAATGCTAAATCCATAATCTCAGCTTTTTTAGTACATTTCTGAAACTCAAAAGCTGAGTTAGGCCAATCAAGGGACCCACTCATTTTGTCTGAAGCTGAACGGATGACATTAAAGTCATAAAAGGTAATCCAAGGAGAATTTGATGCCATGGAAGCAATGCGGATGAGATCATTCCGTAAGTGTCTTGTAAGAGCAAGAGTGTGCTCCCCACAGATGCAAGATAGAATGCAATGAGAATTGAAATCCTTAATAAAAAAAAAATCAGTGAATTGCCTGACCCGAGTGACTAAGGATATGCAAATCCACTCTGCTTGGATGCCAGCAGAGCCAAATTCTAACCAGGGTAAATTTTCTATAATCATCAAACAAAATTCAATCATTAGGAATTAAGGTTTTCAGCACCTTATTCTTATTGATACTTCTATCTCTGGTCTCAAGAATTCCCATAATGGCTAAATTAAATTGTCTAAGAACATTCCTTATTTCTTGTTCTTCACTAGGGCTACTAAGCCCTCTAATGTTCCAGCACCCTTACATAGAGAAGGGAAGAGAATTACCTCCTTAGGGAGTAATAACTCCCTTGTTAACCCTGCTTATCAGCATTCTTCTGATTATTCTGGCCAACTTTTTTACTGGTGGAATCGTTCTGGTTATTATTACTCTGGTTACTCTTCTTGTTATCGGTTTCTTTTCCTCCCTTTGAGTTTTGTTGTATGACAGCTTCTTGCTGAGCAGCATTGTTGCTAGGAGAGTGGTCAATCTCAATCTCTGTATTAACTTCATTTAGAGTCACAAATTTGTTGGGAGATAAGGTCACTGCTGAGGCAAAGGAATGACAATCTGAATATCTTGGCTGTTCATTATCCCCAGGGAATGGACTTCAAACACTGGGGAAGTATCTGAGATATCTCTGATGGGATTCAAATCAACAAGATTACAATTATCAGAGTTAGGATCAGGAGACTCCGTACTCATAGAAATTCAGCATTGACAGTCTTCTGGTTGTTAGCATCAATTTCTGAATTAAGCTTAGAACATTCTCCTTGGATTTGTATTCCATTCTGTTCAATAAATGGTTAAAGGCTCAAGGCACACTAAGGCGTCAAAGGTCGTCTGGAGCCTAGGCGCAAGTTGCAACATATGGCGCGAGTCTGATCGAAGTAAGGTGCTTGTGTGATCATAAGCATATTAATTATAAGTATATAAAGGATAACTAAACTATGCAATACATACTTATCAATTTCAAAATAAGGAATAAATTTTGAAAATAACTATTCTATCTAGTTAATGTATCACTTTCTTTGATTAGTATTGTGCTATCTATGTCCTTAATACATCTAATTTGAGCTTTGTTTATCTTTACTTACTATCTTCTTTGCTTCACATTTGAGTTTATTATATTTGTGTAAGTCTTCTTTTAGCTTACTTTTTAGTCATGCTTTAGTGCGCCCTTTTTTTTTTGTTGCCTCACTCCACCACCATGTCTCTTTCTTAATGAATTTCTCTCCTTTAGTTTTGCCCAAAACTTCTTTTGCCTTATTTCTAATATATAATGCCATTTTGAGCCTCAAGTTATTTACATCATCATTGCAATCCCTTTGATTTTCCTTTTGTATTTGTTCTTCAAATGTGGTTACTTTACTACCTTTTAACTCCCTCCACTTAATATGTCTAAAATTAAGTAGTATGCGATGTTGGTTTGTGAGGCTCTCCCCAGTATCACTTTACAATCTTTACATTAGGCCTATTGCCTTCTTCTATACAATTTGTGTTTTACTTAATCCACTTTGAAATGTTATTAGATGCTCTCCTCTTTTTTCAAAGGAAGTGTTAGCTATAGTTAAGGTATATGCTTTTACAAAGTCTAGAAGTGTTTCTCCTATCTCATTTCGCTCTCCAAAACCATATCCCCCATGGATTCGTGAATGTCCTATCCTATCAACACCTGCATGTCCATTACAATCACCGCCTATGAAAATGCTCTCATGATTAGGTATAGCTTGCATCAACTCATCTAACTAGTCCCAAAAGAGTTTCTTTGTAGTGTCATCTAATGCTCCTTGAGGAGTGTACGCACTTATTATATTCACGATATGTTCAATCGTCGATGGACAAATAAAGCGGTAGATGTATTACTTGAGTGCATCTTGTCAAACAATTATGTGTCTTGATACATCAGTTGAGTGCGTGATTCTATTCTAAATTTGTATGCTTTCCATGGGGCACCAATTGGTTCTTTAACATATTTTAAATTGTTGCAATTTAATCCGTTTAATGATGTTGATTTGTTTGATGTGTTCATACATGTAATGTTGCATGATGCTTACATTAATTCATTACAAAATGATGCTCTGATGTTTCAGGAGAAATGGGTCTGGATTTTACACCAAAAATGCCTGTAAAATCTCTAACCTCTCAACAAATAGTACGCATACATCAGTTGTTCCGTCAAGCTAAATTTGATGACCCTAGTGGTGATGTAAGCTGTTCTTTGTGTTTTATTATTTGTTTTTTCTGTTATAATTAATTCCAATGTTATTGTATTGTATTTATTATTATCCCTATCGTTTTAAATTTATATTATCAATAGTAACCTATTTGCAGTGTCTCAGTCCTGCTGGGGAATACAATCTTCGTCTTGGAATTATAAAAGAGCTGCATCCAGACATGGTTGCAACTTATTCTGGAAGGTTGTATCTGATATTGAGCTTTCCACATCTACCTCTTTCATATTTTTTTATCATGCTGACTTGTATATGACATTGTAGCAAGTCTAGGATAATAGGATATTTAAATTAAATAATTGTGAGCAACATACACAATTTATTCTTGTGCAGCGCTCACGTTTTTGAAGGTCACCCATTCATTGTGGAAGCTGGAGTCAGTGTGGGTGGAAAAGATGTTAAGCATGTAAGTGATTTTCCAGTAGCCTACGTGATAATTTTGGGCTACTTAAATTCTTCGATATTTATTACACTATTACATGGATTCCTAAAGATACCCTCTTGACAAGCAAGCACTTTTGTTTAACGGTCTAGTGCACTAGCTGCTGTATTTGACTTAATGACAGTAGCAAACATACTAATCGTATGAAGTATTAATTTTTTTATGTTACTGAAAACCTATCCACTTCACAAGATGGTCATGTTTTACATATGGGATGTACTCCACCCTCGAATGTAGCAACTCTATTAATGTTAAATGCACAGCTCTAAAATCAGGTATGTATTTGGAATTGCGAGGTTGCATTTTGTTCAATAAATAGACATGGAGTTTATACTAGATTGGTCAGTGTGATTTGGCTACAGCCATCAATTGCTATAATCCTATGCATGCAGGCGACTGACTTAAAGCTGGAACGTTTCCTTTTTACTTTTTCTTTCTTTATTCTTTTCTTTATTTATTTATTATTTATTATTCTATTCAATTTGCCATATAACTTACCTAGCTGTCAAAATTATTGTCCAAGTCTGGTGAGAATGTGTTTTTTCATTATAGTTAATAGACCATTCAGATGGCTGATTCAAATTACAAACTTCATTTAGTAACTACTGATCTTTTAAGCATGCTGTATTTGCTTTACTATATATTTAGTATAGTAGAAAGCTAGTCACAAGGTTAAAATTCCTTCTTCACTCGTTAGTCCAGTTACTGACATTTGTAGATCAACTGTGCTTGCTTAAATTCTAGGGGTTGAATATATTTAGATTTGCAAACCGGATTCCACTTCTATTTGAACAAGGTGCTGATGTTGTCACCAGGACAGCCCTGAAGAGAATCAAGTAAGACATTATATTTGTACGAAAAGAAATTTGAAGTCCTTTCTTATACATGCTCTTACTTGGAGGATATTTTTATTTTTATTTTTCCTGGGGGAGTGGGGGTTGGGCTAGGTTGAGTGATAAGGAGTTGTCATGGTGCATTGCTCACAGAATATCTAACTGAAGTATTTCCTGTCAGTTGGAATAGTTACAAGATTAACCAGACACAAGATAAGATTGGCGTCTTTGTGAGCATTGTAAGCACAAAAATCCCTTTTAAAGGGACGGGAAAGGAATATATTGGAGATGATATAAAAGAGATAGCTTCCGCTGTTAAGGTGGGTGTTTGTCAGTTAAGAAGTGAATTGCAATCTTGAAACAATCGGTACGCTAACAATATTACCTCTACAGACTTCTATTCAGCAGTGTTGTGTCCAACTAAAATCCAAAATAGTGAAGAAAATCCAGGCTCGTGAGCAGCAGGAGAGAAAACGAAATTTGAGCAGGTAAATACACTTGGTCTATGTTCTTGTATGCCATGTGCTAAACAGTGAAAATCATTCTTGTTTCATTAGGTGGTCTCAAATCAATTCTTTTTATTGGTGCCAGGTACATTCCAGATGCTACAAGTGCTATCTATGATGTCTTGAGAGAAATGGCACACTCACATGCGTCGAAGAAGAAACGCTTCGAAGATGAGGATGCAGAACTACTAAAAAAAGTGTCAGCTCGTGTGATAACAAAAGACACGCTCAGGGAAAAGCTGGCTCAACATGTCGAACAGGTGGGCTTCTTAGTTGTATGGATGTTTTCGTAGTACTTTTGGCTCGCAATAAAACCTGATCTAGCAACTCGTAGTCCTATCTATCCACCTCTCCAGACACAATATCTTGAGTACCTATGATGGTGACCACATCCGCTGGCATGTGATGTTTGGCCAAACCGGTCCTCGGTCTGTGCCAAGTGTTCTGGATGAAATGAGCATAAAAAAACTGGCATAGTCCTAGGTTGAATGAGAAAGGTTACACTTACTGCCATATTGAGGGTTCCATCTGGTATAGTCAGTGCATTTTTTTCTTTAAATTGGTAATCATATCAAATGATCTCAGCAAGTCCATTTTAAGGAGATGGAGTCGTTTCATCGAATGTACCATGTAGTCCATGTTCAGATTAGCATTGCATGCAATGTGTACTTTACTTTTACTGAACCATATGCCTGAGCCACATGCAAAACTTTGTTTCCCTAGTAGTAATTATGTAGCTTTAAACCTTATAATTGGGCCACAGCAAATTTTATACCTGAGACTAACGGGTCTAAATCAGCACCCAGAATGGTGTTACTTTCTTGAACACAAGCAAACTGTACTTCTGAAATTTTCAAGTCAAGTTGATTGATAGTAATTTTTCGACAGCTTAAACACTTAAAAGGAGTAATGTGTGTGTGTTTTTTTTCATTGCATAAAAGTTTTGTGCCAATTGTACCATTGAATACATTCTAGGTAAAATACCTTATACTGAGGAACTTTCATGGAGGATTTATCATGAAATTTCTATATAAATTAGTAGTCTCTTAAACTTGAACATGCCACCACTTGTAGCTTTTAAGCAAATGTGGTCTGATGAGAATGTTACCCCTTCCCCTTCGTAATAAGGCACTGAGATTCCTCTTCGAAGTTCTTAAACATGATTCATGTGTTAACCGGATGTGTGTTTTCATGCCAGACATGGCTCTGTCCCCTGAAAATAAGCTTCCACATCCTTTCTAGTTTCAAACTTCCTGACAACTATGCTCCGCGCTGTCTTACACTTGTTTCTCATGTCAATAAATCAAATAGGTTGAGCACCCTTATGCATTTTTGATGAGACTCGTGTAATTTTGTTGTTAGAATATTGCAACTGCTACATTTGGAAGGAAACTTTCAATTTTTCTCTCTACTCCACAGCAAGACTCTTATGTCGTATGATTGTGGCAATATGGACTTGAAATTTCCTATGTTTTTCATTTTGGGATGTGTATTTGCAGGTGGACTATGAGATGGCATTGGAATATGCAACACAGAGTGGGGTGAATGAGGAACCCAGAGAACCTATATATTTAGAGTCATTGGAAGCTGAAAATAGCTTCATTGACTTCCATGGTCCCATATTTGTCTTCAGGCTCTTCCAGTAGGAACTTGTCAGACAGATTGGTTGATATAAAAATGGACTGCTTTTACACATACCATTCTGATTCTATGTTTCTTGTATCTAAATATCGAATACCCAAGATGGAGGGTTGAATGTGATTGTATAACACAGTTTCTTTATTATGAATTTGTTCTTGATTTTTTGTTTTTTACAATAAAGTATTGTCTCTTTCGTGTCAATGCCATTTGTCTGTATTGTCTTTTGGGATAATTATCCTCAATGCCATTCGTCAACCAAGTTCTTATACGATTTACAGACAATACATTTTTGATGCATAAAACAGAAGTAGTTAATTCAGCTTTTTTTCAACTGTCTCAAGCCAACCATCTCTTTTTTCAGAAGCCCTTTCAAGCTTCAGTTTGATTACAAATTCAGATAGAAGGAAGAGAGGAACTGCAAGAGGAAATTGAAGAAAGCGAATGAAAAATAGAGGTATTTTTCAAATAAATATTAATTTTTAGTCTTTTTTATTCAAATATAAAGAAAATACAAGAGGCTTACAATATTTTGACAAACTAGGAGAATTTTTGCTAGGTCATTAACCAGAGTTTAAGTGGTGCCATATAAAATTAGAGCTCGCAAACACGACTGATCATATTACACAGGAGAGTCTTTCCACCTTTACTTAACACTCTCTCCCTTCATTGCCAGGGAAAGAGCACCAAGACTCCCCTCACCCTCCACTGTCACTCCAGGCATGGCCACAGCTCTAGTCCCCACAAGCCCACCTTCCCCAATCCTAATCTTCCCATACTTCACTTTCCCTCCTTCACCTTCATATATGTGTCCAAACAGCAGAGCTTCTCTCCCAACACACCCATTCCTTTCAATCCTCACCATGTCAGGATTCATCACAGCACCCATGCTATCAACATACACTCCTTGGTCCCACCTGATTCTTGAACCCATCAGCCTCATCCACAGCCCAAACAGAGCAGACCCACTTGTCATTTCCATAAAATAGTCCCCAACCAATGTCCTTATGGCCTGCCATATAGTGTCCATAAAGATCTCTTTACTCCAAATCAGCGCACTCTCACCTTCTCTCCTTTTTCCTACCCAAATCCATTTGTTCACAACACAAACTAGTCCAGCTAAAACCCCTGAATAAACCCAGAAAACAGGCAGTAACCAATGCAAAGGAAGCTTCTTTGTCTCCTTCATGTATAGAACCCAGTTTAGAGGACCAAAGATGACCAACCCTATCAGGAAATTAGGCAGAAGTGTCTGTAGTAATGGTTGAGCCAAAATGAGCTACAAGGTTTGATACCATTTTCTTGTCAGTTTCACTTTTTGGGTATCTTCCTTCTCTAATGCTGCTGCCATTGGACAACCAGAAAGGTCTGGTTTCATGTCGGATTGCTCTAGGAAGACCTTCCACGCCTCTGGAAATGGCTTCCTGTTTCGTAAATGCTGGCATATCTCGTACACTATCGAGCGGTCATGATCAATTGAAGCACTCTGGGAGCAAGATGTAGCCCGGATGACGTCCACTTCGTGGCATTGCCTGTAAGGATTGAACTCCAGCTTTTCTGACTCTTCTTCAGTAAGCATTTGATCAATAGTAATCTCTCCCACATCTATATATGGAAATTCTGTTTCATCCCATGGCTTGGTATAGTCGAGTGCAGTGTCACGGATGCCTTCGTCCTGTAGGATTGCCCGGGCTTGCAGTTGAAGGACATAACTAACCCTGTCAGGGGAATTCACACGGCTTTGAAAATCTTCAGCGAGGAAAAATAGTGGGCGCGAATCATTTGCTTCCCTTGGGATAAAACCAATTTCTGGTGGAAGTATTCCTACAGGCTCCACCTTACCAAAATCCTCACCAATCTTATCATCGAAAGGCCTCAACTTGAATTTAACATACATTTCCTGTCCATCTTTAAATCTAAACAGCCTGCTAAAAGTTGAATAATAATGTAGCTCAGTGTATGAGTTTGCACCACGGAGGGAGTCCCAAATTGCTTCCCGGACATGTGGAGCATGCTTCACACACTCTTCTCGTGCTGCGTTGCCACACACAAGCCACATTGCAAAGTCTCCAATGGTACGGGCATTAAACGCCTTGCCTGTCTTTAATGTCAGATCAAGAAGTGGAGTATCATGACCACCTCCAACTGAAAGGATCCTTATTGCTGCACCTCGTAGATCAATCCTTGCATCATCGTGGTAACTTAAGCTGTTACTGTGACGGATGATGATAGGGTAAATCTTTCCGGGGCTGAAGATGTTGTGTTCTTGGAAGTAGGGATGTCATTGTAGAGCCTCAAGAATCCCTTTCCAGCAGCACCAATTCGATGAAAGAATCTTGATCTGACCTTTAGCGTCGTGGCAGCTAAATTTGCAGCAAGATTTTCGACTACCTTCTTATATTTTAAGTCCATCTCCTCTAACCGGTCATCCAGAATATGCATGCTGTTCTTTACCATAACTGGTATTTTAGATCCAACAAAGACACCCCCCTTTTGAAGAACTGATCTCATTGGTGCAACTGAGAGCGCGCCAAGAATAACATCATTCTCAATAACAGAACCAGGGAGGACAAGACTTTGACTTCCAATAACCGCATTATCCCTTATCTCAATTTTTCCGCGAACAAAGCCACTAGAGGTATAGAGTCCAGGTATGATTCGGCTGAAGTCGCCTAAATGGACACCATCAGCAATTGAAATCAATTTTGGTTCTGTGATAGGATTAATGGCTCTGATAGAACAATGCTGGCCGATTTTTGCTCCCAAAAAGCGGAAATACATGCACAAGGCTTCTGTTCCAGAAAGGAATTTGGCAAATCTGAGATGGCAAGCAATGATAATTCGATGATGAAGCCAAGACTCAAGGTGTGCTCTGCTTGGAACTTGTGTTTTGGAGAGAACATGGGTTGAAGCACTGGTGATCAAGCAGAGGATAAGACCATGAGCCAGGTAAGAAATTGAAACCGCGATGGCAAACTGAAAAGGGCTTGAAGAAGGAACACTTTCAAACATAGTTGCATATGCTACAATGGTGAATGGTAACCAGTGAAATGTTCCGCATATGTAGACAAAACTGAAGTGTTGAAAGGAAGGAGGCTTATGTGCTAGCCAAAGTAAGATGAAGTAAGCAATAGCAGCAGATAGACAGCTGAGGAAAACAACTGCATAAATGCCCAAGAAGTGGTAAAAAGATACAAATTTTTCATTGGTTTTATTCATGATTTCTTATACCATTTCTTCCTGCAACAAAGGTAGAAAAACAGAAGGTGTCAGTTGTAATATATATATATATCTTGAATTATTTGTAGTCATATTTAAAAAAAGAAAAAAGAAAAAAGAAAAAGTGCAAGACTGTGCCCCATTAGTACATATATGTAATTATCAGAACCAAAAGCCACATGAGAATAATATATTTGTAGTTGTAAATAGTATCTTCAGTATTATGATGGCTAAACCACGCTTTCATATACTTATGTATATATTTATTTAAATCTTTCTTTGTATATCTCATATAGACATATTCATGTCTCAAAAAGTTAGTTGCTTTGAGCACAAAGAAACCTTCCCTGTGTAATTGCAAGAGAAAAATATATTTTAGTAATATATTTAATATTTACTACATTTCTTATAACTAATAACTCGAAGAACTTGATGTATACACTCGCACACGAGAAACCTACAAGAGAGTGTATAAACACACACACATAGCTCCTTTATTTATACTAGTTTTCCACCTACCCAGTCCTAAAAAAATTGTTATAACAGACCACATTTTCTTTCTGTGTCTCTCTGTTTTTTTTTTTTTTTTTTTTCTCTTTCTCTCTCTCTCCTTTGTTTTTCCCAATTATCTCTAATTCTAAGTTGAAACTAAAAAATTTGAATAACAAGGAAATTAAACAGTAGAGCATCAAGTCCCCTCAGTGAAGAAGCAAACCAAGGCCTCATGAATACATAGATAATATTTTAATTCTTAATACTGTGAATAAAATTTAAATTTTTTCGATATTTTGTGGTCAATTAATTTAATTTCATAGTTGCTCTCATTATATTTTGTGTATAAAACCTACCATTGTTCGGCGACACCTATATGATAAAACACAATATGTTTCATGTGGATGGCATACCGAAGAGGGGAAACATGTGGTGTAGTATTAAATAAGCATGCTATACCCTGTCTCTATGTGCTTAAGCTTTTAGATCAGTTGGTGCTTGACAGTATTTCAAATCACTATGGATAGACTTTTTAACTTTTTAAACAATAGTTAGAGAAGATTAATGTCAATATTGAAATATATAGGACATATTGTAGCTACTAACCTTTTGAATAGCAGCAGCATTGCCAGTCTTAGATTGGATTTTGCTTCCTTCACTTGTCTGCAGAACTGGTACCTCAGTTCCATCTTCCACAACACTCCCCTTCTGAATTACAGCATAAGGACCAACAGTAGAATCTCGGCCAATCCTGATGGAGCCAAAACTCAAGACCCCATTTGTCACCTCATGACTTTACAACAATGCTCCTTCTGCAAGCACTACTCCATCTCCAATTGAAACTAGAGAAGGGTCTGTAATGTCAACGGTGTCAAGCAAAACTGATGTTCCGATCCTGGCCCCAACCGTCACAAACCAGTATTTCAGGAACACTGTTCCTCTCAAATGCACTGCCAGAACTTTTGAAGAAACTTCTTGGGCCTTGTGGAGTGCCCACCATTTAACGAAATCCAATGACCAAATGGGAATTTCTGAGCTCATAACGTAGTTAGGCTGCAAGAATGAATTCCCAAAGAAAGCAATGCATATACAGGTAGAGAGTATGCAAAGGATCCAAGCAAGAGGAGCACAAGCCAAGGAAATTAAGTAACCAAACCAGGGAGTTCTCTTTATCAGGTTATAGCTAGCAGAGGTCAATGTCATATAAACAGAAATCAATAGATATGCAGGGATTATTATCATCATGGAAACATAAGTAAGAGCCAGGAGTTGAAATAACCAAATGCACAACTTGTGGGACATTGGAATTTCAATTACCAAGTCCCTAGAGTTATCATTGGTTTTGGTAGGATAGGATGGATGGGCAATTAACTGAGGTTGAGTCTTTTTTAGGAGATTCTCGGCAAAATTTGCCAAATCTTCAATGCAAGTAGCTGTGTAGATGTCAATTGCCCCAACTGGAACTCCAAGGAAATCAGAAAGTTTTTGAGCTG